TATTAAGCCATTAATAAAAATTGTAGCCATAATGTTGGGCTTTCATAAAAGCTTTTTTATTTGTATTTATATACCAAATTGCGTTTACAGCATTACAAAAACTGACCGCCATTACTTTTGTCCAGTACTGTACATACTTAATAAGTATGATGATGCATTGGTTGATCTCAACAAATTTTTGAATACTAAACCAAATGATGTAGATGCACTAGGAATGAGGGGACAAGTCTATTACATACTTAATAAGTATGATGATGCATTGGTTGATCTCAACAAATTTTTGGATACTAAACCAAATGATGTAGATGCATTAAGAGTGAGGGGGCATGTCCATTACATGCTTAGTAACTATGATGACGTGTAAACTAGCGTTTTTAGGTATAAGGCATGGGGACGATTTGATCAGGTGATCGTCGAGTATTTTAGTTGAGAAGTACGATCATTTCGTCAAAACCCAAGTCTGAAACACTCAATTTATTTCTTATATTTTATTGGATATAGCTGCGATAGTTAGAAATTAGTTCTCAAAAGATATATAAACGGTCGTTATCCGATTGACTGATGTATAGTATGCTTTTGATGTCTTACTCGGCTGAATGGCCTTGAGCAATAGGCACGTAGTATCAATAATGCTGTCGTCATATGATATTTGAGACTGAACGTCTAATGCTTTTGATGTTTAATACTTAATGAGCTGAACGGCTAATGTTCTACATTGATTGCTTACTGTTTAATACATCAAGCGATTGATGCCTTCAGTGTTAAAGGTCCGTGATAACTTGAAAATAAAATGATTTTTAACTCTCGTTCTCAAAATAAATGATTGAAATCCAACTGACTTATTTAACATAATCGGACTCTGCATATCGACCCTGAATATTTGACGATCGACGTTAATATTCTTGTTTCGCCGACGAAGGTCGATTATTGTATTACGACTAATTCGATAATTATGACTGATTGTTTACAATGGAAGATTGAAATGTTATATATTCTGAAAATCTCCTGAAAGGCCGAGAATAATAGAAAACAATTAAGATTAATGCTGTAATAAAACGTTCTCCTTATTACGTTCGTCATGATTGAGAGTTAATGATGTGATGTTGGGTTAATATTTCAAAACGGAGAACAAGTAGTAATTTTACTGTATTCCTGCGTTGCGAACATTTAATAACTTTCTTAACCAACATGGTAAAGGCTCTGGTTCCGATGTGGTTAATGTGAAGATTAATTAACGGTTGGATAAATTGTAGTTAATCGTTCGCCGTTTGAACGTAGGATTCACTTAACAGATCGATGAAGTAATTTTATTGCTATATACAGTACATTATCATCGTTACTATCAATTGAGTATGGATAACATCCTATGAATAGCTCTTGTTGTATAACGGAAATATTCTATAGCAAAAATACCGCATGGCTTCGACACTGAGTATTTGACAAGTTCTCATTCGAGAGTGTTCAATAATCGGCTTGCTGGTCCGATTCACTGAACCGGAGTTTAACTTCAATGATGATAGTAATATTAATTCCTAATGGGTTCGTCGTTTAGCCTATGATAGTGTATTCGTACTTACAGGTATTGTAACATCGTTGAACTAAGTGACAGAGTATGTTTCTCTCGCTCATTAGAAGGGTTTTCGTCTAGACAGCGATGGGCTTTGTAAGCTATAGCATAGATGGCTATTATGGTGTAGTTTATAGAGCGCTAATCACAAGGTGCCCAATGCTGAGAAGAACCCTAGGTGAGGCCCATATCGCGTTCACATGATGCACTGGTTGATCTCAGCAGATTTTTGTATGCTGAGCCAAATAATGTATTAGGACATGCTTAATAAGTATGATGATGCGTTGGTTACGGCTGACGTCGATAAGCAAGTCACATGGTAAAATTTTCCTCCGCAGTAATCAAACAACATCCCTGACGATCAATTAATTATTAATTAGATTTTACTCAAAGCAAAACGCGAGTAACGCGATTTTGGTGACGGCGTGGGAAAGATAGAAAATCCGCGCTCTGTGGCGTAGAAAATCTAGTAACAGCAAATATATATATCAATATATGTGACATCCAAATAACCAGCAGTAATGAAGCAACTTACGGCTAGTTTTTATCGTCGCGTCGCTAATTAGCGAAAGAAAGATGTTAACCTTGGGCAATCTTGATATGATAAGCGATCAATTGTTTTTGCCCAGTTGACAAACCGTTCTTTGACTAGTCAATATCCCATAACTCGCTCATATTAACTAACTTCCACTTTTCATAATATTTTTCAGGCGTTATCGAAGAACAAATTAAATGCTTTTATTAAAAATTAAACGATCCGCGCGCGTAACGCTCAATTTTTCGGGACTGCTTGACGATTTGATCTCTATTTGGACACTGAACAATTAAAGATCATCTGGAAAAATGAAGGGTCATTCTTGCATATTTGTTCTGGCCCAGATAATGGCTCGGCCTCGTTCCGAACGAGACTGGCTAGCGATCAATAATGCCCATTATTTTGGTGCTGTTCCGTTTAATATTAAAAGCAACGTTTATTTATTTTATTATAGCAACTAATAATACAAATAATGTCTACGTAATAAATCACATAATAATAAATTTACAATGTGAAACATAAAACAAACTATATTTTTGTCGTATTGCTTTCCTCGTCACTATATCATTGTTTCGCTTTATCCGTCTCGGGAATAAGCAGGAGGCGGGCCGGCTGGAGGTTGTGAGCTGCTAGCTAGCAAATCTGCCGTCAACATTCTCACAGGGTTTCGGGGTAAGATTTTATGAGCACGCATATAACCCATGAATTGACTGGGTATCTCTTCTAATACTTCTTTCGTCAATTGTAACTCGGATTTGCATTCACTGAACGCTACAAATTGTACGATATCTCGTTCCATTGTTACGCCTTGTACCTAGAACACGTATCAGGTTAAAGAAAACGTGAGTTGTCGAAAACCGGTCAAATCGCACTGGCCCCTTCCCTTTCGAATCCTGTACATCATGCAAAACATATTTCTTTTTTACCTCTAATCTTTCATAATCAGCATCGAGAATTTTCATATTCGTAAAGTCGGCATCGCCCACTCCCACTATAACTATTGACAACGGGAGAGTACACGCTCTGATTATTGCTCTTTTTGTCGATTCCAAATCTGTAATGGTAATGAGTAAGTTTCGCATGAGTGAAGAATTAGATTTAGAAACTGAAGTATCGAGTAAATGTGTTTCCGAATGTACCTGTAATCACTCCATCTAGAAGAAATAAAGATAATCAGAATTAGTAATAGTATAGCAATGGTATTATCACATATCACATGACTTACCGGTTATAATTAATAGCATATAATAAATATTATCATATCCAGCCCGGATCTTTTCCTGAATTCTTTCGGCAGTCTGATTTATTATCTAATCAATAAGCAGTTTGCAAGAGACGTTAATATCGCGGCAACAATAAAAGTTAAAAGCTTCAATGCTTGTTCATACTCACGGGTGAAAAGTTGGTTGGTCCATACAACTCGACTTTCCGTATTTCCCGTGTATAAGCCTCCAATATACCCTCAACACCTTCAACCTCTGGCTAAAAAGAAAAATAAATAAAAATTGTTAATCTATTTTCAAAAAAATGTATTGAATTTAAGATGCAACTCACATTTCCAAAATCATTATTAAGGGGGTACGCATGGGACAAGACCTGATTGAATTTTGCTCCAAATCCATAGACCTGAAAGAAAAAACGAATCACAGACTGAGTATTAGTACTTATATGGTGAAAAACGTCATCCGAATCAAAACGAGAATAATACCGCAAATTTCTTGTTCCTATCGTATTGCTGCACTGTAAAACAACAAGATAATGTTAGTCTCGTCAAGTAATCCACATCTTCCAAGCCTTCCCTCCTTAACCATACCACCACTCAACTCTCTCCACCCTTTCATCCCGCCTTACATACAGATACTCCCAACATTCCAAATAGCCTTTTGATAATCATTCATTCTATCTCCATTAATATAATGTAGACTGTTTTCTTTGTGCGGATCCCCGTTCGATACCGTAAAATCAATCGCAACAACAAGATGAATCTCTGTACCGCCCACGATATAGTCTAGAAATGAAGCGGGTGTTTCAATGGCTTTCTGCATGACCTGAATATGAGCCTTCTTTGGTCTTGACGTGATTGAAAATCTCGATGAAGGTGTGGTTAACGGATATGTGCGACCCTCGAGTATCTCGCGTAGATTCAGAGAAGTTGTGCCAAGTAGAAGGTGGTCTGAGAACGATGAGAGGATTTAGACGTGGATTATGCAAGAACGAAGAAAATGGTGCGTAAATGTAATGTAAAAATAATAAAATGCGCTAGCGTAATAACATTAAATACAATTCCACGAGTAACTTCAACATCAGAACACTCACCCCCACTCTTCTTATGTTGCAGTATTCGTATCTCAAGTGCACGATCAAGATCACTGTTGCAAAGATGAGTCAATGGAACTATACAAAGAGGAAAATTCCAGGGGTTAACGCTTAGTTTAATAAAAAATCTGTAATTCATTCTCCATCCAAACTGAAAGAAAAACTCCTTACTATTAAACTGATCGAATAAAGGGCTAGCACTAAACTGCTGTTCACTTCTGTATACAGGCGAAAAACTACCATCCTCATTTGCTCGACCTATTGTGAAAAAGACACCCGGATCCTTTGATAATATGCCCTGGAAACAGAATTCAATTAGACATGAGAGTCCAATAAAGATAAAGGCGATGGAAGATGTAGAGATAAGGGTAATGGAAAAAAAGAGCCCATGCGGAAATGATGAAAAAAGGAGAATTGAGTGTCTCGGAGTATCAAACAAACCTTCCGTGAGATATTATGGACCTGAAATTGCAACCTAATTAAATGTTTAAAACAACTCATTAGAACCATTTATTACATACCGCGTTGATATGAACCCCCTCCCCCACATCAAACAACGTGTTTATACGCAAAATCAATTAACTAGAATCCATGCCTTGCCTCTGTCTTGTTTTCTATTAATTCTTCAGCCGTAATGATTATCTTGCCTCTATCCTTGTTGGGATGATTTGGGTCCTTTAGTTTACCGACAAGCTTACCACCAGGACTTCCGACTGTTGCGTTGTTTCGAAATAGTTAGCAAATTGCGACTTCAGAGACATATACATTTTTGTATACACAAGTTATTTTCGTACCAATAGTTCCTAGGTCGCATTCGAAAGTTCCGACAAATTCTTGTGCTTTCCATTCAGGCTGTTTTGGTTTATCCACATCTACTACAATAAATCTATATACGAATGAATCGCATTGCTTTTCCAGCATTATACTCCACATACTGTCAAAAATCGACCAACTCACTTTAATCTTTGTAGTTCTTCGAAAAAGTAATCTGTTTCAAACCCTTTTACAAACTTTGGATTTAAGGAATTTACCACAACGTCCGACCGCCAAGGATGAGCGACCCATGATTTCGTCTTTGTATTGTAAAGCTCGAGGAATATTTGTGCGTCGGTTTTAGAGAGGTAATCCAAGTCTGGAAGATTTTGGCACGAAAATTTGAGTTCAACTCGACTGTGAGCTATGTTGTATTCTTCGGTTAGTGACATTGTTGTAAAAAGGAATGTTTGTGTGTGGGGGTTTCAATCGTCCAGAGAGAAGTCTATAATAATAATACTAGTATAATGTGAGCCGTTATAATGAATGGCAATAAAGAATGACGCCACAGGGTAACGCCACAATGCCCGCCTCAGACTTGAGAACAATATCACAAACGCTTTTGTTCCCTATCATGCATAACGATCAAACCACTGGACAGTGACAATCGATTGTATGCATAGCACTCCTGCTAAACGACGACAAGTGATATACGATAACGTAGACATTATGTACCGCATGTACACAATAAGCACGTAATAGCTCCTGGTGTACACCAGGTTATCCACATGGCGAATGCACATGTGCATAGCTTCAATTAGTAAGGCGGGATATCCTTCATACTGTCTGTATTCAAATATGCAACGCCCAAAAACTTGACTTGTTGCGCAATCTAGCCTTATTTATTAACAATTTATGTAGCGATTTACCCACTATATTAATATCTTATATAATTCACATTTTGCACATTCGTTTAATTATTTGCAGCAATTAATTGCTTCGCATGTATCCGTTCCTGTGGTTTAACGAACGCACTACCTGCAAGTGTTGCGAATGGGGTTGAGCATAGGTGGGAAAAATTAAAACCCGTCAATTTGGTATAGACTGTGTTTGATCGAGAACATCATCTAGCGTTAACATGTTTCTTTAGTTGTTGTTGAAGAAAAGAGGCCGTAAAGATGTTATAAGTATACGAGGCTTTGCAGTATAACGTAGCAAAAAGGTTGAATTACATCCATCAATAAGCGATATGACCGAGAATACATGACGAGTCAAATATGATGATACTTGCCTAATTCTCGATAAGGCGCCCCCATGTAAATATTGTTTTCCATGTTACCTACCCGTTATACCTGAGGGCGAATAAAAATTGGTTTGTGCAAGTAACACGTGTATGATAATATACGTTATGATTCCCGAATTCCAGAAAGAAGAAGAGAGGGAGAATAATAATAATAATAATAATAATTAATTCCCGGAAAAGTTTCTCATCCGTAATTGAGCCCATAGGCGATGCCGTATGATATTGGAAAATGTATAATAGTTTGCGTTTCAACGTTGAATTCGATAATTTAAGACTTTATTTTCAAGCTACATGGACATGCGAAAATTAGTCGTACGGATCTTGATTCAGTCTCTTTTATAAATGCAACATGTCGAGCATATTGATGGCTGCAAATGCGATAAACATTTTTTTCAATAAATATCGAATCGACTCGATAACGTGTATCAAACTTTTATTCAGCAATGTACAGATTATATTTGGAGAAAAAAAAAGTATTCACTACTCAATGTTTGAAAAAAAAGAAGACTATGTTTATGCTAAAAGTTATAGACGCTTTCCCTTTTATCTTAAAGTATGTGAACCACTATTACTAAATTCTAAATAAATTAATTACTGCATGCTATATACTAATACGTGTTAATTAATAATTCTCACGTAAATGAAAAACAAGACGAGTTAAAATTTGCTTTCTTCCACTCGCTACTGAAAAATTGACGGATCTAAATTTATCAATTCAAAAACTTCATAATCTTCAATGATACCAACCTTGATGCGAAACCTCAAATCATAATGGCAATCTTCGTAACTCGATTTCCAAGATTGATCACTGATGGTAAATGCTGAACATAAACTTATACCTACACCATACTGTAACCTATGAGGCAAAGTCCCCTTGCGTCTTCCCACGGATGCTCCCCTAGCCGAGTTTCCATTGGGTAATTCAAAGAGAAAACTCTTTGCTGATACCTTTGGTGGGTTTTTCTTCCAACTGTGGAAATTGTAAGCACCCATAATGTATGGTTGATTTTTAATTTTCGTGATAATAATCGTTGAAGATTTTAGACTACATGCTGCAAAAAACTTGTGATCTTTAAAGCCAGCTGTGCTTCCTCTGAAAATAAGTTTAAAAGTATAGGGAAGATCCAACAATGTGTAGGCTTCATTTCGATTGTCGACCCATGAAGCTATAACTGGAACAACTGACAAATCAATTAGCTGTGATTCAAATATTTTTGTTCGCTTTTGTGCCAATAGAGATTGTTCAAACCGTGTTGGTACCATAATTTTCTTTTTAATTTGGTCTCTTAATTGTTTGGGCAATAGTTTCCTGTATGGTCTGACCTCATCATAATATTCATTTGGTGCCATTGAAAGAAAGTTAACTTGCCCAATCAACGGTTTTATACTTTCTGTCATTAATTTAATATCATCTTCCGACCATTTGGTATGATCTCTCTTCAGGTTCGGGTGTTGGGCACGTCCCCAGGTTATAATATGTCTCCATAATTCCAACTCATTGATCGATAACTTTTTCTTTAAAATCATAATTATTGTATCGACATCAAGTTCCAGGTAAGATTGAGAGAAAAACAATTTAGTTGGATCCAGAATAATTGCTCTAAGGCAGACATCTTTGAGTTTTTCGCAGGATGCAAATTTAAATATTGATTTAAAGACATAGCCAGCATTTTCGCATATAAATTTCGGCTTTGTTGTAATAAAGTGGTCCTGTATAAACGGAATCAATTCGGTGAGCCCCAGTTCATCACATGCGTATAGCAGTTCAAGAAGTTTTTCTTCCCCAATAGAATTTACGTTGACTTTTCCGGTGTAAAAATACCTAAAATGAAAAAAATTATAATTAGTATAACTTTAAGTCTGCCGACATGAACAATTGAGGCTCACCTGAGAAGAACCTTAAACACGTCGCCATCAATGTTTGACTTTTCAAAGACATAGTATTCTCCTTGCTTTTTTAACCAATTACTAGATAAGGCTGCTTGAAAATAATCTGAGCGACTAGACAATATCAACTTGTGTACATTAAACTGTTGTCGGGACTGTCCCTCCCCGGCATAAAGAACAAGATCGTAATCTTTGCCGCTTTCCAAGAGTTTAGAAAAATCGGCAATAAACTGCGCATGAAATTCAGACGACATATTGTGAAACAAAAATTGGGGTGTGACAAGAAAGTGGACCTAATCCTGAATATGAAGTGTTATGCGATATTCCAGATTATATACTTATTGGCGATGGTTACACGATTGTCTTATTTAAGAGAGGCGTACTCTCGGAAAATTTCCTTCATTGTTCCGTTCAATTTTAATGCCATATACTGAAACTGCGGACTAGGGCAAAGTATTACTGCGCAAAGTAAGACTACGCCACTAATACTAATAAACTTCAAGGATAAGAAATTTTATCAATTTTTAAGACCTGATTACTGTCTTTATCTTTCTTTTGTAGATACAAGTCGACGCAGTAATACTTTCTTTAAGAGCTTACTTACTCTTAGAGATGAGAATCTTTACGATGTTCTTTGTTGATAACGCAAACGTCTATATAGAATGTTATGGATAAATTACGAATTATGTAACTGGCGCAGCATTTGACATGTTATTTACTAATTGTTACATACTCCGAACGAAGCAAATTTTACCGGGCTAATGAAAATTTCAATGTCATCATTCAAAATACTATTCAAAATCCCATGCATAAGACAATTGATCATGTTGCCAAAGTGGACATGCGCAGATAAAATTGTAACAAAGAGCTCTCTCTTTTTTCGGAACAGTCCCAATGTATTTCATCGGTCTTGTATATCTTCCGGCGTGGTGGTTACACTAAACGAGCGGTCAGCTGCGTACGCTGCACTTTGGCGATCGCCAACGACATTGCCAAGATATAATAATAGTGTTTCTTTGTGCAATTCATTGATACGTAAACGAACATCTTGATCAGGTGTCATTTGTATAGAAAAGCGTTTCATATTCATTGGTTTATTCTCTTAATAAATCGGGGTTGATGACATTGTGAATCTTTCACTATAGTATTTGAGTATAGATGCTATTCATGTATATAGTCATGGGGTCGGTGTGTCGTCCAACCCGGTTTGCAAAGCAGACCAATTATTTTCTTGTCAACACGCAAGCATTTGTAATGCGGCCATATGACCGACAGCTAATGGGTAAATGACGTGTGTGTGTTATTTACGCAATGATGATCCAATGAAGTTTGATTGAATTTAAAATAATATTTCAATAATCATATTCTTTAAGGACACCAAATTAAAGGTAAACTTTTTACATTTTTTAAATTTCCAAAACGCACTTGCTATTTAGATTTGCCTAATAATGTTAGTTAAGATGGGATGCAATTCAAATTGCTCGAATAAGTAAGAATGACACGCTACAAAGGCCAAATGCAAATATCGGCCGTCATAAAAATATGACAAGACATTGGTAACATAATTGCCTTTGAATACATGCGAAAAACCTTATAACCTTTATATCGCTTAGACTCTTTTTAAAAATAGCGCAAACATTGTTATCAATTTACTGACATTTTATGAATTTGTTGACCTCACCTTCAAAGTAAATGCAGGTTATTATTATTTTCAATTCACTCATCATCCATATTACGGATTATGGTTTATTTGTGTATGACTACTTTAATTACTCGACACAGTGAAATAAAAATGTCGGAATTCGGATGTCCAAACTTAACACCACAACTTGCGTAGCAACACCAATGAAATTTTGAGGCAAATCACGTTATTTGAATCTCTCCCGGAGATAACCGTTAAAAGATGACGCACGATATATATAAATACGATAAGTACTTAGTTATTAGTTCGTACAAAAAGTAACAAAGATACTCAGATAGCAATATAAGTGTCATGGAAAGGCGTAAACTTGTATAATACTTATATAAAATGAAAGCATCAATAATATTGTATTTTACAATTGGTTCTATTCATTATAATAGATATATGCATGCATTGCCCGCCCGCGACCGTCAAAGTTGTAAGTTCAATGCACAATATTTCCAGAGATGGGTCTTTGGCGCTTCGATCGCATGTAAGAAGGCTGTATAACATAGGCCTGAAACTCGCATGGTTGACTTTGAATGGGCAATGCATATCGCCCAGCCGTCAAAAAATACAACCTGACACATCGTTTTGTTGATGTTCTGTTGCTGTATCCATATTTTAATGGTTGCTTTTTTAGACTTGGCTTTGTTGCTGTCGCTATCTTGACACAACCGGATTTGGCCATGGAAAAAAGAGAACGGCAGCATTCCTTGCATAAGGTTCACTTCCTGCAGCCATCAATGTTTCTTTGTGCGTGTGCTTTGTACTTTGCATGTGCTTGCAACATTTCTATTGGACAATTTCAATAACAAACGCAGGTACATTTAAAGTAAATAGTATATATAAAATTCTCCAATGGCCAAGAGAGAAATGGTCAGGTTTATGTGCTCACTGCTGCACTGTGTGTTGTCACCCACTTTAAAACACATGTTTGAGAGGCCGATGATAATACAACAGCAGACCCAGCAAGACGACAATCGCTCAATCTGATTTTGACACTTTGATTAAGAATGGGATTAACTATATTCGTCTGCATGCATGGTGTCAAGATCTTATGTGCACAAAGTTACTTGTATTCGTGTACGGTCGAGACAGGTAATATTGCAGACATTTTCCGCCCAGAACATCAATTCCGAATAGTAACAAGAATATATGTATGTGGTTTAAACAGTATTAACATTAGCATCGGCATGAATACAATTACCCTTGCAAAGCTGTAATATATATACCAGTTCCTATAATACGCATTCCTTTGACCTACGCCCGCCAAGTTCTTGCGATTTAAGATTTGCTCTAATCATGTGAGCTATTAAATCATCGAATGTTTCTGCAATTGCAGTCATAAAAAAGCTCGTTCAAACTTTGGCTGACTGTGACGGCGCATGTGTGAAGAGGAAGCGTTAATAATATTCAGCCTGTTTTGCTTGGCCCATTTCCATTTCCATTTCCATTTTCATGTTATCGATGTAATCGTGCCATCCCATCCAGAGCAATAACAATACTGATATGATTTCTATTTCCCTTTCATAGAACTTAATTATGCACCCACTTTTGTTTCTCTTTCATCTCAATTCACCATTGACTTTAGTTCAGCTTTTATCTCCCTTCTATAGTTCGTCGACACATCAAACACCAAATGTTGTGCAACTAGCTTACTCACTTTGCACACCCGATTCAGAATATACATAGTTTGTTATCGTGGACATCACATATCGTAGTGTAACAAAGAACTTGTCGAGTATGACGAGTATTACACACGATAATCACGCGGACACCTTTCATCGGTACCGTTATCTTTTATTGATAAAATCTAAGAATCTGGCTTTTTTTTTCTCTCCCCTTGTTTGAAATCATATAATTGCTGCAGTTACAAGTTTTTGACAAAAGAGTGTGATGACATTTCTGCTTGCGTGCAGCCATATGCTATTTGGGGTGTAAACAAGTTTAACGCGTCACGCGTGACTTGCATCGATGGCGTACAGATTGTGAAGGGTTTATGTGTACCTTATTAAAAGTTTGAACTTTAATAAAAACCATAACGATTTAATTAGAACGGCGCGCAGATCAAACTTATTCATGCACCCGTCCTGTATAACAATCTTTTTATAATTAAATGTAGGAAGACAATAGAAATTAAAAGGTTGATACTAAATACTCGGAAAGGACATTCTAACAGTAGGCCAGTCAAAGTCATATCAATCGTGTGAGAGCAACTTGAGACGGCAACAACATAATAAAACATTTAATATCAACCATAAGAAAGTCGAAAGTCAACTGTATTGTTGAGCCTCGGGTGTATTGTGTGGGCATCGGGGTGCCAAGTATTGTGTTGATGACTGTCTAATACTGTTCTATGAATCAATAGCAAGCTTCATGGAATTATCTTAGAAATGCTGGGTTATGCGCCTTCTTAGTCGTGCCATAGTATGTATAAAACAATATATTGTCCTCATGTAGCAACGCATATGGAGAAAGCGATTTCTATGTGCGTATATTAACATGAAATGGAATAGTCCAGACCACTGCTTTCAAGACCCAACCCATTCATATATTTGCGTAATATATACCGATAAGAGCTAGTTTAAATTGAAGACAACAAGATACGGTAGACGATGATTATTACGAGTGATAGATGGGAATTGAAAAGCAGAGATGAGAAAATCTTGGGTCATTACCAAACTTTATTACGTTATAGTAATCTCATCCGTAATCGCTCATTCTCTTCTCGAAGTCTAGTTATTTCTTCCTTGAGTGCCACTGTGTCGCCACAATACTTCATAAACATAAGTTCCATATCAGTCTATAAGAATAAGCGTTGGCCAAAAATGTCAGCATGGATCTTCATTTACGATAAATTCACAAAAATCTTAATCGTTTAGATGACGGTCGCCCACCTGACCAATATACCCACCTTTTGTATATGAAACTGTCTCAGCAACTCTAAGTGCATATCCTGAATATCATTTTTTATTGCCGTCCTAAATTCATGTAGACATTCCGAGATGACATTTTCCAGTACCTGATACTGAAACTGTGACACACCGCTTGCAGTGTTCGATGAGGGCACGTCATTCTTTTGTTCTTCTGAAGAAACTTTGGCGGCTGGTTTGGCTGTGGAAGAGGATGGCGGTGAATATGAAGAAGGGGAGGATGACGGTGGAGGTTCCATGGAGCGTGAGGGTTGTGACGATGCCGGCAGAGATGAAGGTGGATACGGGGACGGTGATGGTGATGGTGATGGTGATGGTGATGGTGACGGTGATGGTGATGGTGACGGAGAACGACGTGATGGAGAAATATTGGGCGTAGCTGCAATAGTCGCAGCAGAATTTTTGACAGTTTTGATGGGTTTGATAGACTTGACAGTCTTGGTGGTTTTTACAGTGTCTGTCGTTTTTGTAATTGCAGTAGTGTTGGCAGTTTCGGTGGTTGCTCTGACGGTTGCTGCAGTTGCGGCGGCAGCCTTGATTGCTAAAGATTCCGTAGTTGGTGAAAGTACTACTCCATTTATCGCTCCCATTATCGATGCACGAATATCCTTAGTGTCTTTGGCATCGTCACCGTCCTTCACAGGCGAAAACATTTCCATATAGTTCTTATCCTTTGTTTCCTTCGCGCTTTGCATTGAACTATTTGCCTTGGGTGTGTTAAATTGTGTCTTTCCGGATGAACTTCTACTATGACTTTTGGGTCTGCTCGATGAAGACTTTCTATCAAGAGGTTTGTTCCTTTCCTGTCAGCAAAATAAATGTGTTGTGATATATTGATAGACAAGATCTTTTATATATAATCGAAAAAATTTTTTACCACTGGTATCTGAAAACACAAAGAATGTACAGGATGTGGTTCATGGCCAAGTAAAGTGCAGACGCTTTTGCTAGTGGATCGGAGGTCGTATACTATTATCTTTCCTGGATAAATTGATAAAATGTTAAATTAGAATACCGAAAAAATTAAGTAATGTCATCCATGTTACAGTAAGCCTTCATCACCTTGTAATGTGCCAGCAGCTATAGTAACTCCGTCAGGCTTGAATGCCAGTGCCGTCAACGGAAACTCTGTGTGTATATTCTTCAAAATTCTATATAAAAAAACAAAGCAATTAACCGGCCAATCTCGCTATTCCACTCATTCCAAGCATTATGCCTTATCCTCTCATGCCAAACAAAACACTAACGATCTTTTCCCCACGTCATATAGTACTATTCGCTTGTCCATTCCACTACTACACATTAATTGCGAATTAAATGGCGAGAAGGCAATTCCCCTGACCGGTCCAAAATGAGCAGATTCGAACGTCTGTAACGCTGTTGTCGAGGCACTCGTATCCCATATTCGAAGATATCCGTCTTCACTCCCAGCAGCAAGGAGTCCTCGCTTGAAATGTGAGTATTCGAGAACGTTCATAGGTTGCGTGCTTTTTGTGTTCTGCGAGAATCGGGTTGGGCAAGAGAATGTAGAGGAAGAAGAAATAGAATAACAAAAGTTCAATATAAAGAAAAAGGGTAAGAATGCCAAAAATACGATCCAGTGCTATATAATACATTGAAGTTGCATATTTGTGACAAACCTGACCAGTAAGTACTGTTAGATTACTCTGAATCAGAGAAGTCCTACTATGTATTATTATATTTCCAATATCGCTCGCACTAGCAACCAATGTCTCGTCTATGTTGAGATCTATGCTAGTTATTGCACTCCGATGGCCCTATATACGATAAAGCGAAAAATAATAACAGTCATACGATTGACAAGGACAAGGGCTAGATAGACTGATAATGTTTATGAATAACTCACCTTCAAAGGCTCATCATACTGTGATTCAGTTCGATCCCATACGTAAACGATTTTATCTGACCCTCCAAACATTACGCACTTTGATTTATTGTTAAATCTGACCGCTTTGACATCCGGATATTCCTACAAAATATAGCCAAAACGAATCAAGTAAAAATGAATTGAATAAACAATACATTCGTTACTTTAGAGCAAAGCGCTTTTTTCAATCAAAAACCCCGGTTCAAACCCAATTCCTCACCGAACCCTTTTCAATGTGTAAAGGTATCTGCTCAACAATTGTTCCTTTATGATCATGGATTGACACGGAACCTTTTTGCCCTACACCTAATAGCTGATCTATATACGGTACACATAAAGCGGATTTCAGCATAGAAAAGCTCGAAAAGCAAAAACATAACCTACCCCTTTGTTCTCTTTCATTTTTCTCGTTTTTCTATAATCTCAGAGTTAAAAACTTACTGTCGTGACTCCATCGTGCACATCTCACTCCTGCACGGTTGGAAGGAACAAACGAAGATAACTCAACGCCATATAATTGTTCAGGAAAAGAAGCATTGCCAGTCGGTTTAGCTGTGGCAGAAGAGGCGACCAAGTCCCATACTTTTACTTCTTGAGAGGCAGAAGCCAAGAGAAAGCTCATTGCAACGTACAAAATGTTTGTGAATACGTTTTTCCAACACGCGCTGCCTTGTATTTTGACGCATGCCAAAAATTTCAGACTATGCGGAAGTCACGTGTAGTGATTTTCCCAATTACATTATGCGAAGCAGCTTTTCCCTTGGACCGCTTTTTGAGGTAGTCACACTGGTCAATTTTACAGCCATTACCACAGCATAATCAGCCCCTCACTTGTAACGTGTTCACTTGGTTTGTTGCAGCATGCCCCGTAATACGGTATTAGGTATGCGATTTTCCATAATAAACCTATGTTCAATAACTGGTCTGTGTCTGTTGTCTCTCTTTCAATAAAAATAAATTCAGTGCAAACATGTGATGATGAACATTAAAAACAATAATTAAATAATAATAAACAAACCATACTGCATGTGCAGGATGCTTCTCTCCTCTATTACTATTGTGAGTTACACCAATAAACATACTAATACTGCATGTATAATAATAAGATGCTTTTCTCCTCTACTGTGAGTTACTGTAATTCTATCTTTACAATGACAACAAACTGACATCATAATCAGGATTTGCTTTAATTTTTTAATTATTAAAATTGATTAAATATAAATCAAAGTTTTGAAACTAGAAACACCTCCCAATCAGCCCAATCAAAGTTGTCTGATGAATCCCTAAGTGGAACCTCATATGAACTCTTTCTAGCATAGGGTCTTTGACTATTATCTTCTTTGCCGAAACATAAATCATTGCCACCTCCAAAAATAGGAAAATATCTATAACTATCAGATTCATCATCATAAACACTGTTTTCACCTTTATCAGCAAAAAAACTTACTACATTCTCATCTCCACATTTATCTAATGCAAATATAAAGCTTTCCTTAGTGTAAAACCAACCCTTGTGGGCACCCCATGCAAATGGATTATATCCACCAAGTATTTCTTCAGTGCTCAACACTTTGCCAACAGCAATTGTGGGTCCTTTGTTATTACACAATTCTCTAAATTTTGCAACTGTATTACCATCTCTACTTCGTCTATAAAGTAGAGTAAGTTTATAAGCATCATGCTTCACAGATGTCCTTTGGTCTTCTTGGGATAGCCTTGTTGATTCCACAACCTTTGATGAGATCCATATTGCTTGCTTTTTATTGATAATAACAGAATCAACATCAGGTACTTGTCCAGTTCTTGGTGGTAACATGTGAGTGGTTGGTGTGTAATCCTTTTCCAAATGGTATGTCAGAACATCATGACGTAGCTTTTTGGGTAATAAATCCTCATACAGCATAATATTTCTAGAAGAAATGCTGAAAATTCTTATATGAGGAATGCAATCTGCTATGTTCTCTTTGACTGTGTTGAGATCCTTAGATGGCCAATTATCTAGGTCATTCAGTTCTAGTTCTGGCACTTGTTTAGTTGCCCATTGAATGACTGATATGAAAATATCATCTTCATCTATGTCTAACTCATCATTCTTGAGCAGGGTAATCAAATTCTCTTTTGGTAAGGTTGCAATATCATTCGATTTAAAGATAATATCAGGATGAGAAACCATAATTTGATTGCAATGATCCAAAAGTTTGCTTAAAGAGGCCATGGATGCAGCACATTTGTGAACTGTAATGATGTTTTGTTTGATCCATTCTTTTCTATTACCAATCAAATAATTTTCAATGCCAGTGAGAAGATCAAGGAGTCTAAATTTGTTTGCTCCATACAAAAGGCTGATCCAATCAATATTCTTGCCTGAATCATAAGATATTCGCCCAGTGTAAATATACCTGCCATGAAACGTTAAATCCGTATTAACATTCACATCATAATAATGTTGTACTAATACATATAATTATACAAATCACTTTGATAATTTATGAATCTTACCTGAGCAACAATTCGAAAACGTCTGGGCTCACATCTTCAAAGGTTATTGCTGCTTTTTGAACCGCTTCAGTCGTCTCCATATCTCCGGTTAAGTTATTCTCAAGCAATGTGCTTCTTGTACATAAAACCAACGTATGAGCGAGAGTGGGATATTTGTAGTCTATATAGACTACAAATATCCCACTTAGTCGGGACTATAACCATCCCAATGGGAATTGGC